AGAACATAGACATCATGCTGAACACAATCACATCAGCAGCCATCAGAGCAGCAAAAAGAAAAAATTCTATTGCCTGTAAAATGCAAACAAAAAATATTAGTGGATTTTACAATTTAAATTTACTCTGAGTTAATGAAATTTTAGTTTTGAAACTTCTAATCAAACATGGCCTTTAGAGGATGAAACGTCATGGTATCACAGAATAGGAAATCATTTGAGAATACCAAATGCTACTAATAAAAGAAAAAGTACTGCATACTTTAAAGAATTTCTTTGTAATTTTTGTTTGATAGATGTAGGCTGGTCTTCTGCTTCTGCCAACTCAGGGTGGTAAAAAAAGATTTTAAAACAAGGTAAATAAACTCCTGTCCCAAATATACAGTTTGCTACAACTGAATTATACAATCATTTTTTCTTTTTAAACACATTTATATCATAGATTCCATTTTAAATGTTTTACATTTGTATGCATAAATATTGAAAATGTTTAGTAATTGTAAGATAAAGAGTAATTAGAAATTTGATGACAATATTGTTCAGTTTATATACTGTTGTGGTAAACCTCCTTACAGTATAATGAACTCGTCCTTCTCTCATAAATACAAACTGCGAGAGTCGGATGTGTGCGCAGAGTGTGAAGTGGAGTAGTAGACGCAATGCTAATCTACTGATTACTAACACTATTGTTTTGTATATATCTTCAACTAGCAGTAGAGCCCGGCATTGCCTGGGGATGTAACAGTAAGAGATAGATCAAGTATCGATCATCATAAAGACTGAAACATAAAATTGACAAAGATTATTGTTTAAGGTTGACGGACACACATGTCTTGTTTTTTTTTTTTTTTTTTTTACAAATTGGTCAAACCCAAACTCAAACAAAAACATTGTTTTCAATCGTTATGAGTCTACCGATTGAATAGAATTTTATTATAAACAATTGTCTTGTAAATGGAATTTTTAAAGCATTCTGAATGTAAAAATAAAGAAAAAAGTGTGCAAGACAATAAGAAACACTACCTGCCAAAAAAAAAAAATGTGAAGTTTTGTTGAAATCAGTTGAAAAATGTAGGAAATCCGATCCCATATATAAACACACACAAACAACCTGGGTTTTATAATAAGTATAACTTGATATGAGTTGTCCCCCTTTCATTCCGCAAAAGCGATGCCTCTTAATCGTGTTTTTAAATTGATTTTGTGCAAAAACAATTGTGTTTTTCCAATTTTTGGTGCTGTCAGAACCACCGCAAGGTAATTTTACGTAGTCCTGTGAAGTTTTGTTGAAATCGGTTGAAAAATGTAGGAAATCTGATCCAATATATAAACGTACACACACACAACCTGGGTTTTATAATAAGTATGATATACTTTTTTCAACCAAATTCGTCTTCCGTATTTTTTTTTTCTGGTTAAACAGGCCACAACAATAATTGGCAATGAGGATTTTTGTCAAAAAAAAAAAAAAAAAAAAAAAAATTGCCGTTGCCAGTGTCCACAACAACTTGGTGACAAAGATTTACAAGGATTTTGTGAACCACCGTGATTAAAAGGAACTCTCTCAAAATATGGAAAATCAAGCTTTTTCAGAAAAAGACACACTTATCACGGAGGATTTCAAAAGTATTTTATTAGAACTTGTAAAATACCAGAATGCACAGCAATTACAACTACAAGAAAGAATGGAAGAGAAGTGACAAAAACAACTGCTCTCTCTACAGGAAAAAAAAGGAAAATCCAGAGAGACAGCTCAAACTTCCAAAGGAAAATCCAGAAATAACAGCTCAAACTTCAAAAGCAAGTGTTAAAATTGACAAACTGTAGTAATCCCATTGAAAACGAATTTTCTTTTTCACAAAACACCATTTGGAGTGCGATAGAGAATTTTTCATACAATCATGAGGAAGACATAACCTTTGTGTCATACTTTAGGAGGTATGAGGACTTGTATACGTCAGATTGTGCGAATTGGAGTGACTCGAAAAAAGTATGTCTTCTTCTGAGGAAACTTAACTACATTCTGCCCTGTAAGACTAGCGAATTGACATTCACCGAAGCAGTAGAATTACTAACAGAGCTCTTCAGCCCAAAGACATCTCTTTTTCATAAGAGATGGAAATGTCTTAATCTAACTAGGAAAGAATGGGAAAACTACACCACTTTTGCGTCAATTGTAAACAAACACTGTGATGATTTTAAACTGGCAGAGCTAAGTGCGAATAACTTCAAATGCTTGATATTCATGCAAGGACTAGTTTCAGCAAAAGATGCAGAAATTAGGCGAAGAATACTAAAAAAATTGGAGAATGAGCCGAATATAACTCTACAGCAGGTCGCTGAAGAATGTCAGGGGTACGTCAGTTTAAAGCAGGATTCTAAAAATATTGAAGAATTGGGTATTGTTCATGTCAAAAAAGTATGCTACAAACAGAAACAAACAAAGTCTTCTAAAACTGAAACAAAGAAAAAAAAAACAAATAAGTTGCCCCCTAACCCATGT